CACAATGCAGTGTGCTTGACTTTATTACGGCAACAATGTTTAACATCTCTTCCTTGACTCATTATTGGATCAAACTTCCAAATTAAGACCATTTTGCTTTGGATTAAAACTGCAAAATTTCATGCAAAAACAAAATTTGCTGAAAATTTTTCCACCCTCAGAAATGTAGCATTACATCACTTGCCCACCAATGGATCCTCTGCAGTGAATGGGTGCCGTCAGAATGAGAGTCCAAACAGCTGATAAAAACATCACAATAATCCACAAGTAATCCACACGACTCCAATCCATCAATTAACATCTTGTGCAGCAAAAAAAGTGTATTGTTGTTAGTTTGTAAGAAAGAAATTTATCATTAAGACCATTTTAACTTCAAATCGTTGCTTCCAACTAAAATACGAGTGCTTTAACCATATTGCTTTCTCCAGTGAAAAAGTCATCTTGTCTGAATCAGGAGAGATATATGCGCAAATCAAGCACCGTTTACAAGCAAAAACAGTCCAAAACAGTTCTATACAGTTATGTTTGAAGTGAGAGGAACAACAGGATGGACTTTCACTTAAGGACGCATTGGATATAGATTATGTATTGTGGCCAGAAGCAGCAGTTTAAAGTTAAAATGCCTTGATGGATTTGTTTCACACAGCTTTTCACTTCACAAGACGTTAATTGATGGACTGGATTTGTGTGGATTACTTGAGGATTGTTGTGATGTTTTTATCAGCTGTTTCGACTCATTCTGACGGCACCCATTCACTGCAGAGGATCCATTGGAGATCAAGTGATGTAATGCTACATTTCTCCAAATCTGTTCTGATGAAGAAACAAACTCATCTAAATCTTGCATGGCCTGAGGGTTGGCCTGAAAGCCAGAATGAACCATCTAAGTGCTGTAATGTGACATTATACCTTATTGTTAGAAATATTTATTGTATACTGCAGGCAGCTTCACATACTGTTTTTAAAGATAGCATTGCTGTGCAGCGTGCTAGTGTTCTCCCTCTCTCTCTTTATATCTGTCACTCTTGACAGTTTCTCTCTGACTATCTTCGTCTGGCTCTTTGCCCGGGCAGACGTTTGAATCACGGATTCCCCGTGTCTCTGGCTGCAGAGATCCAGATGTGAAATTCTGGTGTTTGCAGTACACAGCTTGATTCTGCGTGACTGACACACTGAAGAAAATCTGAACCCTCGGTGTGGCTGTGAGCCAGCGATGCCTGCGAGAACATCCTCCCATCTGCCATGTGTATTTGGCAGCGTGTCTCCCACTCTGGTTTATATACAGAATGATACAGTGTTTTGTGGAACAGTGTGTGTGTGTGTGTGTCTGCAGTTTTAGTTCTGTTGCCATATTGGAGAAATATTTAGCAGTGCTGTGTACATGTAAAAACAGGAATAATTCTGAGACGCTGATGTTAAATGAGGAGTTCATCCAAATTTACAATACTTTAGTCCTTTAGTGTCTTTATTGAAGCTTTAAAGCTTCATGGAAGAAAGACAGTGATATGTGTTTGGAACGACATGAGAGTGAATAAATGATGACAAAATGGTGTCTTTCAAGTTACTCTGAAGTCTGAAATATATATTTAATGACTTTTGAATGTTTAACAAAATTCTGTTGTCCAGGTTGGTAAAATTAATGTTTGATTTGCCTCTGCTCCACTTTTTAAATCCAGTTTATCCAATTGTTTATATAATGTTGGATGTCTTCAGAATGGTATACTATGCGCTAATTTTTTTAAGAAACTGCAATGCAGTTAGTATGTATACTGTGTACATTATGCTCATTTTTTTTATATACCGAACACCCGGTCAAGCGACAACATTTGCTATGTATTTCAATACTATACTTTTATTTTTATGTTTTCGGTCTCAATTTTAATTTTGTGCTTTTGTTGATTTTTTTTTTTTTATTAGTTGAGTTTTTTTTATATTCTATTTAGCTTTTAATTTTAATTTCATTTTAGTTTTAATTATAATAATTGTAGTACTTAAGCTTAAAGTTTTTACATCTTAGTTTTCATCTAATATTTATTTTCTTATTTTATTTATTCTTTTTTAAATTTTGATAGTTTTAGTTTTAGTTAATAACAACATTGCACACTACGTGGACAATTGTATACCATAATGCAATGCACAACCTTCCATGTGCACTGCGAACTGAAAGCAATATGAATTGAGATTTTTTAAGGGGCTATATGTAAGAATTTTCATGTATTAATTGCTTTTTTATGGCCAATGTGTGAACAGCTTGTAACAAAACTTAAAAAACAAGACCTTCCCCGACTTCTTATGTTGTCTATGAAAGCCTGTAGACTGTAGATTTTTATGTGTTATGTGTTATGTATAAGAACTCGGGACGTTTTTATCAAACGCAAACTGGATGCCACTCATTGAATTAATTATAGTATTGAGGTCAGGTGACAACAATGTAGCATACTACAGTTGAAGTGTTTATCATTGCTGCATTCTGTTTCAATAGAAATAGTAGGAAGTACAGTACAGTATATACTGTGCACTCAGAAAAAAGGTACAAAACTGTCACCGGTGTGGTTCCCTTTCTTAAAGGTCCCCTGAAATGCTGAGAAACACGCAGCGTTACTCTGTGTTGACGTCATTTTAACTGAAACAGGAAGACAGGGCGGGACATGTCAAGCAGCCCTGCCCCTTTTTAAAATAGCCAATAGCGTTCGTTTATATCACAGCTCGTGCTAGAGCCGTTCAGAGCCGTTGAGCTCCGTAAAGCCGCATTTGACAGGGTATGCCAGCCACAATCTCATCCATATTGCTATAAAATATAGCATTCTGTGTAGAACCTCCCATCTGCCATGTGTATTTGGCAGCGTGTCTCCCACTCTGGTTTATATACAGAATGATACAGTGTTTTGTGGAACAGTGTGTGTGTGTGTGTGTCTGCAGTTTTAGTTCTGTTGCCATATTGGAGAAATATTTAGCAGTGCTGTGTACATGTAAAAACAGGAATAATTCTGAGACGCTGATGTTAAATGAGGAGTTCATCCAAATTTACAATACTTTAGTCCTTTAGTGTCTTTATTGAAGCTTTAAAGCTTCATGGAAGAAAGACAGTGATATGTGTTTGGAACGACATGAGAGTGAATAAATGATGACAAAATGGTGTCTTTCAAGTTACTCTGAAGTCTGAAATATATATTTAATGACTTTTGAATGTTTAACAAAATTCTGTTGTCCAGGTTGGTAAAATTAATGTTTGATTTGCCTCTGCTCCACTTTTTAAATCCAGTTTATCCAATTGTTTATATAATGTTGGATGTCTTCAGAATGGTATACTATGCGCTAATTTTTTTAAGAAACTGCAATGCAGTTAGTATGTATACTGTGTACATTATGCTCATTTTTTTTATATACCGAACACCCGGTCAAGCGACAACATTTGCTATGTATTTCAATACTATTATGTTGTTGTTGTTTTAAAGTCTGCTTTTATTTTTATGTTTTCGGTCTCAATTTTAATTTTGTGCTTTTTTTGATTTTTTTTTTTTTATTAGTTGAGTTTTTTTTATATTCTATTTAGCTTTTAATTTTAATTTCATTTTAGTTTTAATTATAATAATTGTAGTACTTAAGCTTAAAGTTTTTACATCTTAGTTTTCATCTAATATTTATTTTCTTATTTTATTTATTCTTTTTTAAATTTTGATAGTTTTAGTTTTAGTTAATAACAACATTGCACACTACGTGGACAATTGTATACCATAATGCAATGCACAACCTTCCATGTGCACTGCGAACTGAAAGCAATATGAATTGAGATTTTTTAAGGGGCTATATGTAAGAATTTTCATGTATTAATTGCTTTTTTATGGCCAATGTGTGAACAGCTTGTAACAAAACTTAAAAAACAAGACCTTCCCCGACTTCTTATGTTGTCTATGAAAGCCTGTAGACTGTAGATTTTTATGTGTTATGTGTTATGTATAAGAACTCGGGACGTTTTTATCAAACGCAAACTGGATGCCACTCATTGAATTAATTATAGTATTGAGGTCAGGTGACAACAATGTAGCATACTACAGTTGAAGTGTTTATCATTGCTGCATTCTGTTTCAATAGAAATAGTAGGAAGTACAGTACAGTATATACTGTGCACTCAGAAAAAAGGTACAAAACTGTCACCGGTGTGGTTCCCTTTCTTAAAGGTCCCCTGAAATGCTGAGAAACACGCAGCGTTACTCTGTGTTGACGTCATTTTAACTGAAACAGGAAGACAGGGCGGGACATGTCAAGCAGCCCCGCCCCGTTTTAAAATAGCCAATAGCGTTCGTTTATATCACAGCTCGTGCTAGAGCCGTTCAGAGCCGTTGAGCTCCGTAAAGCCGCATTTGACAGGGTATGCCAGCCATTCACTGTACAGAAAATACTAATTCTGTGGACAAGTAACCGATTTCAGCCGCGGCTTCAGCGTCTATTTTATAGTGTAGGGGGCAGGCGCTTCGGATTCTAGAGAGCATTTGATTGGACAGAAAGTTTGATGAGAAGCTGAAGTACGATGTGATGTCAAAAAAATCGTTGAGCCGTTTTGGCGGAAGTGACGAACTGCAAGCTTTGAATGCTTATATCTTCTAAATGCGAATTTTGTCACTGTTTTGGAGCACACTGCCTTATAGATAACCTTAAGACTAACATATTAATACTACCTTTAAAAAACGTTCATTTTGATTTCATGGGGACTTTAAGGTACTAATATGTGTTTTAAAGTACTTGTGTGTACCTTTAAGGTAGTAATACATACCATTTAGGGGTAAATAAGGTAAAAAGATGTACCTTTTAGCTTTTGTACCTTAGGGTAACACCCCACTGATGGCTTTGTACCTTTTTTCCTTAGAGTGTACTGTGCAGTATACTAGTATGCTAGCATTCTAAACACAGCCACTGAGACATTTCTCACAATGTCACTAATGTATGATGCTCATCTCTGACTTTCTGTGTGCTGTGTTCTGTGTGTCTGTATGTTTCTATAGTAACCACTACATTGTCTCCGGGCTCAAGTCATGCCAGGAAGTGCAATGAAACTGAGAAGACATACTGCGTTAACGGTGGAGACTGTTATTTCATACATGGTATAAATCAGCTGTCCTGCAAGTAAGTTACACATATTCGGAACGCATTAATTTTTATCTTACCTCACTTTGACAATCCCTTAACTTTACATTAATGTCTTTGTTTATGCTGCTTATTTTTACTACACATTGGTTTGACATCAACAGACTTCAAATAGGGCTGTCAAATTAATCTAGATAATTCAGATTAATACTATTTAAAATACTGAAACAAAAATAAAAATCAAAGCAGTGCTATTTTAGTATTTATATACTATTATAGTACTTATTAATATTTTGAATTAGCTTTCTTTTTATATTTTCAGTTTTCATTTAAATTTTAGTACTAGTGTTATGAGCTTTTATAATTTTTATTAGTTTTTTAGCATAGCTTTAACTTATTTTATTTCAGGTTTAGTCATTGTAGTACTTAATTTTAAACTTAGCTATTTAAATTATTTGCCATAGCAACATTTCTGAGTTTCATTTAAGTTTAGGACTTTAATTTAATATTTATATTTTGTTTTATTTTAGCTTTATTACAGAAAACTGCATCAGAGCAAATCAGTTACCACCTCCTGTGGTTGTGTGTATCATAACATGTTTATGGGTAATCCTTGCGGATAAATAAGATATATTATTACAATTAAAGCAGTTATGTGAATTTATTAGAATTTTTTTCTGTTTTCATTTTACTTCCTTTAAATTCAAATTCAGAATGCAGTTCTGCATTCTATTTTCTGCTTCAATTCTAATCTGGGAATTTAAAAGAAATTCCATTAATTTCTAAATGGCACCCAGCGCTACAACGTATTGGCTCATGAAACGGTATACGTTTATTATTGTTGGGCCTTTGTTGAGAAAGAAATTTAGCTACTCGGGGAGCTTTAATTGAATACTCCTGGTCTAGAGAGAGCCAGAGAAATGACAGTGTGTCTGAGGGCCTGGAGGAAGGGGACAGGGTTTGCCGTGTCATCTGTCAGCTCTGTGGATGTATACAGCCGTGTTATCAATAGTATGCTGAGTTACTGCTCCCCTGTGATACCACGGACACAATGCTCTGTTCTTATCAGCCATTTCGGGCAGGACAGTGCAGATTTACGGCGTATGCGCCAAGTTTTTTAAAGGAAGAGAAACAAACCCATTAAAGCTGTTTAAAGCTCAAACCCTTTGGGGAGATGTCATCCTTTAACTGTGACTCGTCGAGTCAATCTCTTTAATTTACAGAACAGAGCATCTGAAGTGGCTATAAGGGTTAATAGCCCTCAGGGGAGCACGGACTGATTTGGAAATAGTGTGTGTTGCTCTTGGCTTTCTTGACACAGTGATTCACTTACATGCCTGAAAGTTTATCTTCAACAGCACTGAAGCTTTACTTCACAGTACAGGTGGGCGGTATGACCAGAATCTTTTACCACAGTATAAGATGTTTTATATCTTGGTAAAAGTATCATGGTGGAAATTCAGTAAATTAAATACTTTACTAATGAATCATACTTCATCTCATT